TTTTCAGTCATTTTGTATTACAAATGGGAAATTGATAATCAGTTTGATCATCTGATTATCAATTTCCTGTTTGTAATGCAAAATGACTGAAAAACGGCAAACTTTGCAAGGCTATATTACCCGCATTTTACAACATTTCGCAACGAAATTTCGGAATATTACTAATTTTGTGATGTTCTTTGAAGCTGTGATGAAATTTTTGCCCAGGCATATCTAGATCAAAATTTCACTCATAAGGGGAAAGGTCTATTGTATAACAAAGCCGTAACAATAATTTTCAACCATGACAGAATTGGCTATAAAGCATAAGCTATATACTGCATCAAATTTAAGGCAAAAAAGTTTAAAGAATATCGATTTAAAGCTACGATTTCATATGTTGACAACCTAATTCCCCCCCGACTACTATCAATAGAAATAATATCAATCCGAATACTTTACCCAATATGATGGGGACAGGGTCATTGGCCGTCAAATTAAAGTACGTCACACCATCACTTCGGGTCTCATTACACACAGCAGTCATCTCAACTTTATATAATCCTGGAACATTGATTTGCCCTCTTTCGATGTAGAAAAATTTCTTGTGCTTTTCGTAATTAACTGTAGATGGCACCTCATCAGCGTTGTTAACATCATACAGAGTCCAGTTATACTTCCAACTACATTTAGGCTCCGCGCAGCTGTCATTCTGTACGACCTCTTCAGTATTAAAGCGAATATCATTTCCAAGATATGTTTGGAATGGTTTCTTCTCTGTTCTTCCATCATATATTTTCACTGATGGTTCACAACCGTCTATGACGTCGACTGTAATTGTGCAATTTTCACTGCTTATACCATTTTTAGCCAAAACATCGATTTTCCATTCCCCAGCATTTGGTAAGCTGGTGGTAATGCGATCTTTATCATGTGTAACACTGTCTGAACCATGTCCAACAACGGTAAAGGTGTAAGTGATTGGCCAGCCTGATGAGACATTCGCGAAAAGAATAATACGCTCATAAGCCGAGTGCTTTTCGATAAACTGATCTTTGATAAGGGTGGTGGTACCAGACTTTACTTGATATATGGTGAGGTTTTTAATAGGTTCCATGATCTCAACAGTTGACTTAATACTGAGCTTTCTACTGTCGACAAGGCCAAATGCAGTCACTGTAATGTTGTATGTTTCGACTTTTGTGTAACTGAAAGAGAAATAAACTTTTAATCAGTTTTTGAGAATAATTTCAACTAATAAGTTTGTAGACGTTCTCTGGTTTTAAATATTTATTGAGTACGAGCTTTCCACTACCAGTCAGCAGTCTTCATTCTCGGATGGATTACAATGAGAGTAGAGAGTACACTAGTAGAGTAGAGAGTACACTCTCATTGTAATCTACCTGTTAAAGACTGCAGACTGGCAGTCGAAAGCTCATACTAAATAAATATTTAAAACCAGAGAACGTCTACAAACTTGCTTGTGTGATGTTACTCTGAGTGTAACATCACACAAGCATCTTATTTACCTGAGTACATTACACCAACACAACAAGTGTCTACAAGCTTATTATGAATAACCCTGGTTTCACTTCAAACATATTTAAAACATTTCAACTAACTTTGTTTGTACTGGATAGCTCTGTCAGTTCAGCTAAACTATCCTAAATTGTTCTACCTAGATAATCAGTAAGGACCATTCTTTATTGTGAGTGGTCCAGTGTTACTACCGGAGGAACCTAAACTAAACGAACTACATTATCTCCGCCAAGAAGTTTTTATCTGGGTTTAATTTTAATTTTTAATTTAACAAATTTTATTTGGATCGATATTCACAATTTTTAACAAACAAAAGAATATAACAGAACAAATATTACATTAAGTTAAAATAACCTAGATATCAAATGTAGATCCAAATGTCAAAACACCATATTTGGTCATCGACTCAAAATGACGATTTCACAGTTGAATGTCAGCCAACCAGAAATCATGAATTCTGTTAATAAATAAATAGTTATCTCTTGACACCGAGTCGCTCAGTAATCTCGAACCGCGACTGTCTCGAGCTGTTTTTGTACAGGGTGTATCAAAAAAAAGGTAATCGAACTTCAGCGCGCTATTATACGTGTATTACTCTGCGTATGAACAATTGGTTTTCATATTCGGAAAGATCAGGCTTTTAGCTATTGAATGACATGCTTTTTATACCAAGTGGAGAAAAAATAAGCATGTACGAGGCCGATTAAAAATGTTAGTCAAAATCGCATATTTTCACATCTGTGCCTAATTAAAACAATGCATAACAAAAGAAAAAAGCAATTAATCACGAACGTGTCGTAGCTTAGCTAAGATTATGAATATGTGTGCAGTTTAATGAAGTGAAATTCATCAACTTAAGTCCTAAAGGGAATTCATTTTCAATGGTTTTAGACCTAACTCTCAACGGTGAAAATATGCGATTCTGACTAAGATTTTTTATTGGATTCGTATTTGCTCATTTTTTATCCATTTGGCATGAAGAAGATGTCATTTAACAGCTAATAGCATGATCTTTCCGAATGTGAAAAAATCTCGTTCATACTTAGAGTAATTCAGATACAATAGCGCGCTGAAGTTCGATTACCTTTTTTTTTATACACCCTGTATATATACATGAAGTTACCGTTACAGCTCAACAGCTCACCTCTGAAGCGCAGTTGGTTAGAGCGCTGCACCGGAATCGCAGGGCCGTATGTTCAATTCCTACCAGAGGACCTTGTGCTGCATTTTTCGCAGTCATTCCTGGTTAGGTCTTAAAATGTATAGATTCTCACTTGGATTACAAACCCTAACATCCTAATATTAATTCCACCAAGTGAAGTGCAATAATCTAATTACCCGATTACCTAGATATACATTACCTAGATATACATTATCTAATTACCCGATTACCTAGATATACATGAACTTACGGTTACAGCTCAACAGCTGGCCTCTGTAGCTCAGTTGGTTAGAGCGCTGCACCGGAATCGCAGGGCCGTAAGTTCAATTCCTACCAGAGGATCTTGTGCTGCATTTTTCGCAGTCGTTCCTGGTTAGGTCTTAAAATGTATATATTCTTACTTCGATTACAAACCCTAACATCCTAATATGTACTTGGGACAGTGTACCTTGTCTTTGGAATAAAACCCAGAAAATCCATTCCCAGTCATTTCCCACAGCAATATAATCGCACGTTTAAAGTAATCATGTGTTTATTGCCTGATGTAAGCCAGATTATTTAATTATGAATCATTTAGACTGCATGATTTACGTACTTGTTAGATAGCCTCAACCACTGGACCACCAAAAGTGCCGAAACGGCACTTCTGCATATGAGACCCCAAATTATAAAATATTTACTGATACCGCACTGAAATATGTACGCATTAGCTCAAGAAATAACTAGTTATTGTTCAAATTACGGTGAAAATTAAAAGTTATTGGACCGCATTTAACCTATTTGAAACAAATTTCCGCCTTTAAAAAGCACTGAACTTTAACGAATATTCAATAAAGCCTTTTCTTATAGTTCAGGAGTATGTGCCCAAGCTAGTCAGCCACACTTCCAAGAGATCGTTTCCCTTTGCGTGGACGTAAAGTGTGTCCTTGTAAAAAATCCTTACTTCAAAGCCTGCATGTTAAACATATTGTAATTAGAGCGACGTATAATATCAGTAAAGTGGTTTGAAGCGGTTACATTTCATATCGATATTCCCATGTTTTGCCACTCCGTGTTGCATCCAGTGGACGCCACTCCGTACGCGCTCTCAACCACTTAGTTACATGGTCGAGATGTTGAGGATGAACTGAAACATTACATTTCCTCACTAATTTTCATTTAATTCCTAAATTGATTGTCTCAAATTGTGTTTCTTTCCTCGAGTTAAGCCCTTGAAGAGAAATTATGTTGAACTCGCGTTCGTGGTTGGTTCGAATGGATTAATTCGAAGATCACCTACCTTAATCGAGTCATAAGGTTGCTTTTTACCGCAGGAATTCGTAAATGCACTTTCTCGACAATTACTTCATAAGCACTCGCTTGGCCTGAGATTGTTTCACGATTCTTATAAATGAGCTACAGGTTCCCAGGCTGACGCAATTATGGAAACGGTCTGTTAACAGTTAAATTCGGCGCATGAAAATGGACTTCACTTTGCTTATAGTAAGAGCTGATTCGCAAAGTGGATATTGGGCATCGTTATTGGCCTAACATCTATTCAACTACTGCAAGTGATCGAGGGAGTAGCGAGTTGATTGGTGTGGACTGCCGTGCGACATCCAAGGACAGCTATCCCAGTGTCACAGGAAATTTGCCGCCCACGAAAATTTGGCCGCTACTTCCTAGGAAATATGGCCCCCTCCTTCGGAAATTCCCCCCCCCCCCTAAAAAAATTGTTTACTTTATCTTTAGGCTCAGAAATCGTGAAGCTTCTAATAAAACCAAAATTCTAGAAATTTTTCTCAACATTTTTGTACGATTGCCTATTTTTTGTGTGAAAATTCTCTATTGCATTAATGCAATACTGAAGAGAACCAAGAGCGAGAGTTTAGCGTACTTTTCGCGTTTGGTTTTGACCAGCTTTGTAGAAGACAACGTTAATAAATAATGGCTGTATCATTAAGCTATGGAAACGAGACGATTTTTATAATACTTAAAAGGATACGCTTTTTGCTAATACATACATGCTTTTGTGTTTGCGGAATGTTTTGTTAGTCTTTCGAACCTTTGCGCTTTTGTGTGTGGGGAATTTTTTTGTGAGCCATGAAGCATGCAGTCTACTTTCGTTTTTACGGAATGCTTCTGTATGCATCCCCAGGGGCGCCTGAATATCGATAATTGGAGGGGCAGGTGTTCATATACTCGTGTTCTGCCCAACTAATTTCTTTTGAAATCGATTGTTTTTACAGTCTGTGAACACGAATATATGAATACATGCACCCCCATTTATCGATATTCCGGCGCCTCTGTGCATCCCACCATATGAGCGATTATATATATCCTGTATATATGTATACTAAGTAAAATGCATAAAGATAAACTAAGATTTTTTTACGAAATAACCACACATTTGATTTTGTTTTTCGGACTAACGTTTCCACTTAAAAGTCTACTTTTACCCCAATGGTAATTAGTCGTTGTTATTTATTAGACGTGTGTATATTAGTAGCATATTCGCCACCGCATGACGTCGTCGTTCGCTAAAGTGCGGTTTTTAATCTAATTTTATACCATGTGACTGAATTTATGGATCTAAGTAACTTCTAATATCTTAGAAATTCCTGTCTCTAAAGATCTTTTCACGTCCTTAGCTTAAAGACGTTAGCCATTATGCATTAACTTTATCCTCTACAGATACCCATGTGGGATGTGTCTGGCATGGCTGCTCTAGCACATCTTTAGAATTAGAATTTCCACACAAATAAATTATGCAAACTAACTATAAATACTGACAAACACTTTTAGGATCTTGGTTTTAGAAGAACCTTCACGAGCTTATATAGCGATAGAGTAAACTATGTTTTCGAGGGGGAGCAAATTTCCGAAAGGGAAGTAATATTACCAAGAAAATATGGCCCCAGAGGGGCCAAATTTGCTGGGAAGATTTTCTCGGGGGGGCCGCCAAATGTTTTTGGGGGGATTTCCGGGGACTCCGATATACTTTTTTTTATTATTATTATTACAATATTTCAGTAGGAAGCTACACTCACAACAAGGTGATTTTCAGGCAGGTCCTACGATATCAATTAAAATACAAATAAAACTACATTATAATAGCATATATAAAAAAGTATGTTTAAAATTATATCAGCATAAAATCGTATATAGAGTTCTTAAAAGAAGTCAAATTGTTCGATTATCTTTGGTCTAAATTAATATAGACTTCTTATATAGAGTTCTTAAAAGAAGTCAAATTGTTCGATTGTCTTTGGTCTAAATTAAGGTTATTCCAATCAACGACTGCTTGATATATATATCGTTGTTTTCCCCAGTTAGTACGCGAGCGTCGAAGATGTAAATCCTGACGGCGGCGTGTGTTGTGGGAGTGAATTTCAACGTTTTGAACTAGGTTGAATTGATATTTTATATACTTATTTATACATTTATAAATACCAATACAACGATGATGGCGTCGACGTTCTGATAAAGGCATCCAGTTTAGCTGTGCGAGGGCTTCTGTACCGGAAAAGTATTTGGGATAATCCAGTATAGTTCTTGCTGCGTTATTTTGCAAACCTGGAGATTATGCATTAGGACTTTATTGTTCTTGTCCCCCCACACAATATCTGCATAATCAAATAACGGTAAAAAGAGACTGTTATATATCGCCAAACGACCATGTAGAGGCAGCAAATACTTAACACGACGCAGAACTCCAAGTCGTTGGCTGACTTTTTTGCTAAGGGCATCAATCTGGTCCGACCAAGACATATTTTGATTAAGTTTAATGCCAAGGTATTTGAAGGTGTCTCTACGTTCCAAGTTATGTGCGTTGATCTCTAATGAAAACTCACGGAATGAATTGAGTTTACGCGTGCTGCCGAAGATTACAAATTTGCTTTTCTCAGCGTTCAAAGTTAAAAGATTGTCATTTAAATATCTGCGAAGGATTTCAAGGTCAGCATTCAAATTTTCCTCAAGTTCCGACAACGTAGAGGAAGAGAAATAAAGAACCGTGTCATCTGCATACATAGTCACTTTACACTTCTTAATACAAGACGGCAAGTCGTTCACGTAAAGGATAAATAGGAGTGGTACAAGGACACTCCCTTGTGGAACTCCAACTGAGACATACTTTGCAGAAGAGGTAGCATTATCCACTCTTGTTACCTGTATTCTCTGATATAGGTATGATTTGAACCATGTTATAGTGGCATCAGTAAATCCAGCCTTCGATAATTTTGAAAATAGTATAGAATGGTTCACCGTGTCAAAGGCCTTTGATAGGTCCAAAAAGACTGCTCCAGTGACAGCGCCTTTGTCCATATTATCAAGAATCGAGTCAGTAAAATGTATCAAAGCGACTTCGGTTGATAGATTTGGTCTGAAACCAAATTGCACTGGCGATAGAATCTTTTCATCCACAAGGTATTTGTAAACTTGGTGATGTGCAACCTTCTCTAAGACTTTGCTGACCGTGGGTAGAATAGTGATCGGTCTATAATTTCCAGAATCGCATCTGTCTCCAGATTTAAATAGAGCAGTGACTTTACCAAATTTCCAGATCGACGGGAATTTCGACGACTCCAATGACCTATTGAACAACTTTGTTAAAACTGGTGCTATTAATGAGGCAGAGTCCTTTAGAAGACGCGCGCTAATCTTGTCAAGTCCTATGGCTTTGTTGGTCTTTAGCCGATTTAATTCTGTACGGACAAACGCTTCCTACAGGTTGGAAGTTGAAACCACTAACAGGATTAGCATCAACAGTCAAAGAAGGGTTTTTCCAGATGTAATTTAGACCAGGAGTTATCCTAGCAGCGAGTTTCGATCCAATAGAAGAAAAATAATCATTCAGGACTTCAGCAATGGATTGTGAGTCCGTGTAGGTTACGCCGTCCGCTTCAATACAAGTGACTGGCGATGTGGATTTACGTGATGTAATTTCATTGAGTATTTTCCATAGCCCACCAGAATTGCTTTTGTTTCTGTTAATTAATTCGAGATAATAATCGGCTTTACTCTTCTTAACTTGTTTGGTAACAAGGCATTTTAATTTTTTGTACATGTTCCAGTGAAATTCAGAGTTACTTTTAATAGCCTTTCTATGATGGTAATCACGATCTCGCATCGCGTCTTTAAGTTTAGCCGTCAACCAGGGTGTTTTGGTTCCTTTGATGCGGCTCCTTTTAATAGGTGCATGTTTATCAGCAACATCAGAAAAGAGTGTATTCCATGTTTCGACAGCAGCATCTAGATCTTGAGTTTCGTCTATTATATCCCAGTCAATTGACTTAAGATCTTGAATAAAAGAGTTCTTGTCAAATGTGCGGTAAGAGCGATATTCAATTGTTTTTGGAGGAGCTTTGGGAACACCAGATTTTATAGTGCAATAAACAATAGAGTGGTCGCTAATTGCCGAGTGAATGACTCCGCTTTCAACAACACGATGACTATTATTGACCTATTACAGGGTGACTATATCATTGACCTATTACAGGATGACTATTACAGCCTGAGCTATAGTAGATGTTCCATATACAGCAAAATTAAAAATATTGAGTAGCGAAATAGCGAAATAGTTCGCTACATTTTTTTAAGCAGTAGCTGTAGTCAGTAGCGAACTACTTAATTTGTTCAAAAGTAGCAGTAGTTGTAGCTGACTACATATTTTTGAAGTAGCTGTAGTTATAGCGAACTACAAAAAATTTGTAGTCAACCCACCCTTGGTTAAATTCGAAATTAAAACAACAGTATGTCTGAACATGTAACAACAGAAAGTCCAATATAAAAGTTCAAAACAAAATGTCAAAAAGATTTTAGATGGTATACAAGTATGGCAATACGAATACCTTAAGTTCTAATTGCCAGAGATGTCTTCCACTTAGTGTTTCTTCACTTTCCATGAGCGGTTCCCAGGCTGCGAACGTTTCGTTGTAATACCATGCTTCCAGAGATAGGTTGGCTGCAACTTTTAACTGCATCAAAGAGAAATAAGGATATGTATTCGCTAATTATCCAAAGCTGTTTAATATCTGTTAACATGTTTTATAATATATGTGGGATATAACACGAATTTAATGCGCGTGTATTATCAACTACTTATTAACTGAACGCGAGGTCTGTAAAGAGAAATATCGGACCGAGGTCTTTTTTATATATATCCGCGTAGAGCGAGGCTTGTACAAAAAAAACGAGGATCCGATATTTCTCTGTACATACCGAGCAAGCGAAGTTAATAAAAAGTTTATTATATGGCATTTATAACTATATTAAAACAAACAAGAAATGCATGATTTGAAATGCATATTAGTAGCATGGTACACATTTGGTCGAAGAAAACAAAAAATATCAATATATTCCTTCTTTTCCGCTAGAAACCATTCGCAGATATCTTATTAATAACAAATTAAATTATAATTTTCAAATTTTGCTGTTTTGCTTTAAAAATGCATGCGTTTGTTTTTACGTAATGGACTTCTCTACCAATCACAATCGCCATTTCACCGGAAGTGATGCTTGCCATATAATAAAACGCCATAATGCACTGTCTTAATTTTCCTTGGTTTATCTCCGTTTTCTCGACAAAACAATGTAAATCCAAAATCTTCTATATAGCATGAACGAATAGACGATAAAGGAAGTGCAAAAGCAGCCAACAAGAGGCAATGGGAAAAGAAAGACGAAGAAATTTTCGCAGCTGGTTTGAGTCTGAATTAAAGTAGCCGAGGAAAAAAGGCTATAGGAATACAAGAGAAAATAGAAGAAAAAAATCAACAAAAGCTAACCAAATTTAATTTAGAAAGTAACTTAAATGCCTCGAATAAAAACTGCTTGACATACAGTATCTTTGGCGAAACACGAAAAATATAATAATAATTTCAGAGAATAAAAACAAAACAACTCGACAAAAACCTCGGACTCCACTGCCATTAACCAATCACAAAGACATCTTAAATTTTCTTTGTCTAATAGAGAAATAAAGTCAAACAATGGATTTTGTTTTTTACATGCGGCCACAGGTCTCCCTGTATGAAGCCCTCTTTCCTTTCCCTCATCTCCTTTCCTTCACCTGCATCTAAGGAACGGAAACTTGTTTTTTAACAAATGACAATTATCGAAACATTCTTCTCTTTATCATAAATATATTTTTCTTAAGAATTAGTTTCAATAAAATTTGACTTAAAAATTTTTCCTATCAGTTAAAACCCAAGTGACCCAATCGAAGTAGTACATATAGGTAATCATGCGATGGCAAGTACAATTAGGGATTAATAGTACGAGTGATGTTTGGAAATTTTGGCAAACTTGGACGAGCCGCCGGGGCGAGTTTTTGTTTGTTTTGGGAAAATCATTAATTGTACTGCAGTACAATTAACGAAATAATTGTACTCCTCTCAACCCATCAGCATCCAGTAATTTTGTCATGCTAATAATAAATTTATTAATTTAATACAAAAGTTCAGAGAGCGAAATCAAGATAAAAATCCACAATTTTTCACCACTCTTCAACTTTGAATAATAATGAGCTGCACTACATTGTGCTGTGAAGACGCAGCATTTCTCCTCTGCCATCACATTTATAATTGATATCATGTGAGGATCCAGGATCCTATTCATAGGTTTGAGGCGATGATCCTGAGAGACAAATTATATAACACAAACTCAAAACACACATGAAATCTCTAGACAGCTTGAACTTTCCAAAATTGAAGATAATTTTTTAATCTATTTTGAATTTGACATGGTTACCATTATTATATAAATTGCAAAAAATATGCAGTATCTAGAACTATCGATAACAATTATTTAGTGGCGAGGAAGCCCCAAATGGAAACTACGTATGTTTTATTTCAAATTTATATCCCTGATATAACTATAATTTACCCTCCTTTAGTAATTATTTCTATTTGATTAGATTTTAGTCATTATGAAACATTGAAGCCTGCATGCACATCAATCAAAACTCGGAACTTAGACCAAGATACACAATTTAGGCTAGTTTAACAATAATTCTGAGACAAAAGAAACGATTTTAAATTAGACCCCAAGCTACTTACAAAGGACGCACGCATGCAGATGTAACTTCAACAGATAGGGAATTAAAATAATTTCGAATCTTAAAATCGTACATAACCAACAAAGAATTGACCAATGTGTAATTGACAAGTGACGGAATTTTAAGAATTGATATACCTTGTACAAAAGAATGGTGTTGAATTGGACTTACCCTTGTTTCATTTCAACTATAGATGTCTGCAAAATTATTTTATATGATTGATTTAGATATAATAGGTATATATAGTATTTACAAACCTCAGAGCTCCAATCTTTGATATCTGATACAATATTGCAATTGACAAGTAAAAGTGGTACACGATGTGCCATTACTTCATTGTATAGTGTTAAACGAACTGACTTCATTTCCATTGACCACTACAGTAATGTAAAGTATACGAAGCAATAGAGTATGCAGTCTAAAATAATGTACAAAAGACGATTTGTAGGTTTTAAACCAATCTTCTGATTTCTCTCTACGACGAAGTTGATTTAGCTAAAGAAAATAACCACAAAATTCTTTTACTGATTAATAAACTACAATTACACTGCTACTTTTTTCATTTTGTCATTTAAGTACAGAAGGCCTAAAAAAATACCTGTGGTTCCGGTTTGTGATTACGGCACCCGGTTTCTTTTGTTCAAGTGTAAAGTTTAATTAGAAATGCAAACCCGATCCCATATTATTTGAAATGACTATTATTTTGCATAGCATAGCATAACATATAAAGCAAAAATATAATTAATATATACCTTCTCAGTCACAATTGTGTTCAAACGAATTCTTGATGGGACACGAACTGGAGCTAAAAAGCAAATCCATAATGCCATTAATTATACGCAGTATATCCATTTTAAAAATACTTAGTACGCAGCACTGTACATGCTTTTATGACTAAAAAAGAAGTAGAATATTAGCCATAAAAAAAGCTCAATCATTCAGTTCAAATAGATTGTATAACAAGTTAGAATTCTGGTAACTTAATGATAATCTACCATGGAGGTCTAATTTTATTGAGAACTGCATAATAACTAATAAGGTCCGGTTCACCTAAGATGAGTATATAAAAATGCAGGAATATGACCAATGTTAACTTTTACTTCTGAGCATGCAAAGAAAGAATGAAAGGAATACATGCAGTGCTTTTGGAAAATTGGCTTCTGTTCGTTTGTATACTGTGTCAGTTGTTTCAGTTACAACTGTTGGCAGAGTTTGTGATTAGTTGACGTCTTAGCTTATGCTTGGTTTATGAAGCACACTTATAATTTCTGCATCTTTATTTTATATGCTCCGGCAAATACGGACAGGCCGGTCAGTCTATGCACAGTAATCGAGTTAAAAATCACACTTCTCAATGTCTTGTGTGAAGGCCATATGTCAAGACAACATAGTTTCTGTATCTGTCTTTGGGTTATCCTCTATATACATGTGCTAGCTTTCGCTCATGTGTGAGGCATGCTTGCATGTTTTGCACTTTTTCACAAACCTCGCACTTGATACCAATCGTCTTTGCATAATGTTTGAGGTTGCCACAAGTCCTTATTCTCGTCA